GTATCAAATTATTAATCTGATCTTGGGAAATATTACATCACTCATCAAGCAATGCCCTCCGAAGTTCCGGTTGACAGGTGGGAGGGGGTTGACGGGCTGCAATTCGTCGGCCAAGCATATCCCCCACATGCTCTATGAGAATCTCTCTCCACATGACTCTCCACATGAGTATGCTGGCCAATCCATACGGGTGATATCATCCAATTGAAGGCATTCGACTACAATGTTTGCACGGTGAGGACGGGCGTTGTCATCCATAAACAGAAATTCAGCACCCATGGCGGCCCCAACATAAATGTACATGTTGTTCCAGAATGACATCCCGATAGATGTGGCCACTCATCGTTATACTCTGAACATGCAGGTCAGTTCTGGAACCAAGAATAATTCCTCCCCAAACGAGCCATCCTGCACCACCGTAACGGTGTCGTTCAGTGGTGTTCTCTTGGTGGTAACGGGTACCTGGCGCTCACCATATGAAAGTACGGCAATAATCAGACTGCAAGCTAAACCTGGACTCGTCGGAAAACATCACACCAGACCACTGTTGCGGTGTCCACAATGCATGCTCTCTACTCCAGGTTAATCGCAGGCGACAGTGAGTTGCGGTAAGTGGGACACATCTGACAGGCCTACGAGCATATAGACTGTGCCCTAAGCGTCTGTACACGGTCTGCCATGAAACTGTCGTACCGGTAGCTGAAGAGAGCTGACGAGACAGGTCTGATGCTGTGCTCCGTCTGTTTCTTTTGGCAGTAACTGCTAAATACCGGTCCTCATTCGGCGTTGTAACTCGGGGGCGATCTGTGCTGTAACATCTACTCACATTACCGTCATCTTGGAATCGTTGCCAAAGCCTGGAGATGACACTCTGGGTGATTCCAAGTTCCTCGGATACTTCCAGCTGGGTACGTCCACATTCCAGTCGTCCGATAATTCTACCACGTAAAAAATCATCCAAATGCTTCCTTTGTGCCATAACTATGCAGTTATTGCACTGAAAGGCTTTTAAAGCGCTTGGGAACAATTCTACTTCTTTGCCGCCATTCCTTATATACCCCTCTCTTACACTCTCGTCATTGTGACGTACTATCCGCGCCATCTGGTGGTTTCCTGTAATTTGCATATTCTTCTTCAAGATGTGTGTGATAATTCTACAGGTGAAATTTTTATTTTAGAGTTTAATTTCTGTGTGATTCTGAATTATCCTTAATTTATGGACATGAATGTATTTTCTTGTTTCCAAGTTGTTTTCTTATATATAAAGTTCCAAAAACTTTTCAAAATGAAAGTATTGCAAACACTTATATGTTTATAAAGTCTTTGATACATAATTATGAACAGAATGTTAAGTATGGAATTCTCTCTATTAAGAATTTATTTATGATTGTGGATCAAATATTCATGTTCACGAAAAACTGCAATCTATATATAAAATCTACATACATTTTTTTCTTTTTAAATAATTTTAATTCTTGTAAGAGTTTGATATATTTGAGAGAAACATGGATTTCATAAGCCATTTAAAAAGCATAGACAATGCAATAAAATTCACTAAAGTGTAAAAAGTGTAGTTCACACTCAAATAAACTGTTGATATGTATGTCTATTAGAATAATAGAATTAGAATTTGATATTATTCTTAGGAACATGTTGATTTTGTAAATCTTTAACTATTCTTTAAGAGTTGAATGTAAAAAAAAAAATATTTAATATTTTTGTAAAATCAATCTAATAATATTCTGAATTTACTGTATTGATTCTTCAGGATTTTACATATTAGTTAATCACATAGTACAATAATCAAAATACAATGATAATCATATTGTAATACAATAAAGGATAATCGTAAGATTGATTTACACTCTAAAAATATTAGACGATGACGTAGGTTGCAGTTTTCCTTTAAAGTTGAGTAATCTTGGTATAGATCGTAATAGAATTTTCCGCACCGATTCCTATGTCGTAGTAGTTTTTGGTATTTTATCTAAAAGGTGCATAAACAATTTTAAAGTCACAGACGCGCACAATTTAATGTCGCGCGTGTAGGAATGCTGAAAAAAATTCATCTTTTAAAGTGCTAGGCAAAATGATTATTTTTTTTTTTTTAAATTTACGTTTGAAACAGGAATTGAATTACAAGAAACTTTCAGGCCAGATTAGTTTTCAAAATATGGGGAAACCGAATACATCAACGAATTCCGATTTCTGCACTTCGGTTTTTGTTGCTGCCAAATTCAGGCTTTTGGTCAAATATAACTGTTTTCTGGTTTCTTTTATAGATTTGTGTAAGTATGTTGACATTGCTTTTTTATTCTCGTCAACTACAATGGTTACTATTTTGGTAAATATTCTGCTTTAGTTCATTTCATTACATTACGCTGAATTTCTCTTATGTATGGACTACTGATAAAAAATAACCAAAAAAATGAATGATTTTTTTTAAAAATTTTGCTCGAATGCGTATACCATGAAAGAGAAATTTTGTGCATTTCGAGGATGTATCAACGACCAAGTTTGCAAACTTCTAGGAAGGGTATGACAACTCGAAAAAATATAAAAGTAGAGGATCGTCTTTTAACCCTGTAGTGTACCCAGAAAACATTAGAAATGAAAAGTCCCCACGTAAGAGAATATTATTTTATCGATACATTTACATCAACAAAAGTGATATGGACAACAGTAAAAAGATGAATTATGCATACATAGCATTTTCAAGTAGATATCCTCCAAGTTCTGCAGCGTGTCATCTCGGTATTCTGAGCTGTATCTCGCATACTTGGAAGGCTTTTTACAAGATCTTGAACAGTCTCTTCCATGTCTGGAATCCACACCGTTCTTTCATTTTTCCACCATTTCTCTGGTAAAAAAGTCTCTTTTAGATACCCATGCAGGTGGATCTGCCTACAATCTTGCTTAATTAAATACCGTTGAAAATGTAAATGCTGTGCAGGTTGTGCATTGCACTTCGAAACCTCGTAACCCAAATGGATATCCATTATTTCAGCTGTGTATGATCCGCCATTCTATCATGGCTTTTTTAATGAGTATCAGTTGAGAGAACAATGAGAACTCTTAAAGATTGCTCAAACCTCACTGCTCCTGTACTGCGATAATTTAATCTTACCTCCTAAAAGTTTGTAAATATGGTGCTTAGATACTTTGTACATACCCATTTAACAGCTTAAAAGCAAATCGAGGTTCTGGAGCCCATTTAGGAGATAGACAATTTAACTGAAGATAAAGTTCTTAAAAAAATGCAAATGATAATATAAAGTAAAGTTGTAGATCAAATGTAGCAGAAAGATTATTGATTGCTTTCTAGAACGAGGAGGAAGAGTACATATAGATATTAAAAAGTTGAAGTATAAGAAAAGATACATTTTTGTCGTAACAGTTGAATTTATTTAAAAAAATGTTTACCCCAAAACTAAGAACAAACCTCACGGAACAAAGTATCCATAATGTAAATAAAAACAATCCAGTCAGTTACAATTACATTTTCTTTTATCTTCTCTTATCAAAAAGAAAAAAAATAAATAAAATAATTCAAAATTCCTTGGGCTCTTACATTAGCGAAGGAAATATCATATCCACGTTTAAAGAATTGTTTACAGCCAGACTTAATCCCTTTAAATTTCTGTCATCTTCAATAAAAACTTGAATAAAACCCGAAATACTAAAGATGCAGCTCAAATTTTTTGGCTAAATGTACAAAGCAGTTACAGTTATAATTTAAGCTATCAAAAATGATATTTTGAGTACTGTGTCATTATTGACACAGTAAAAGTTGATATTGAAAAATCCTAATACATTTCAATGTTCTCAGTACTATTTATAAAATTTAAAAATTGAATTTCCTTTTACGCAAAACAGTTAATATTTGCCATGATTTTAAATTAAATTGAAATGGAATATTTCTTATTTTAGTGAAGCATTCTTTTAAAAATTTGATTTGGTAGAAATCGTACTTTGATGTAGATATATTTTAGAGTTTTTGTACGAATAGAATTCGACTTTTCATATATTCGATGTTCCCGAAATATGTAAAAATGCATTTGTAGTAGACTCTTTGATCTGTTGAAATGATATTTACCTTGCGTCGATTACATTTTATAAAAATCTGATCAATGTAAAACTAAATATATATTAACCAAATTTAATGTAGTGCTTAAGTTTATTCATTCAAATTTAAATGCAAATATTTGTTAATTTTTATTTTTATTATTAAAAAGAAATGCTATAGGTGGCCATTCATAATATATGACAAACATTAATAGTTTCAGTACCATAAATTTTCAAAGTACATGCATTTTGTTGAGATATCAAAATATTGAAGGACCGCTTTTAATTTTTAATAAATACATATTAAAGTAAGTAACTATTATAGTAATTTTTATATCTCTTTTAATATAGTGATTATTGTATCTCTTTCAAAATATTACGTTCTTTGCAAAGGAAATTACATTTTATGTAACAATCTTTGAATTAAACTTGCTTCTTAATTTATTTTACATAATACTTTTAAGTAATAAATTTCGTTTCTTTTAGTCAAGAACATGTACATGCTTTAATGAAATAATTAATGAAATGAAATAATGGTGTAAAATGATTTAATAAATTAATGAAATGATGTAGATATGTAATGAAAGGACGTTAATTAATGAAATGATGAAATGATGTAGATATGTAATGAAATGATGTTAATTAATTTGTTTGTTGTTGTTTCTTATCCCACTTGGCTGGCCAAGCCCACGAGTCCATATGGACTCATGATTGAAGGGGAAGGAAGCAGCTTCTGTTGTGATGGAGCACCCGTAGGTAGAAGCCTGACTTTTGCTCCGTGACGCTCTTACAGTCATAGAAGACCGGGACCTACGGCTTAAAGTGGATTCCGAACCACTACAAACATCCATGGCACCGCCGGGATTCTAACCCGAAACCTGCGGCACCGAGCGCCAGAGTGCTAGACACTCGGCCATTCAGGTCCCAAATTTGCCAACGACACGCAGTGTTCCCAGGTGGTCACCCACCCAAGTACTGACCGCGCCCAATGATGCTTGACTTCGGTGATCTAACGAGAACCGGTATATTCAGCATGTTACGGCCGTTGGCTATGTTAATTAATAAATGATATAATAAATTAATGAAATGATGTAGATATAATTATTAAACGTTATTTTTAATGTTACTATTATATGATTTGTATATTGCTGAATATTATTATTTGTGGAATAAATTTCCTTCTGAATGATTTTGTTTCATTATTTCTACTGCATATATAATACAGTCAAAACAAAAGGATGATTGCATGATGATTTTCTAATCATATTCTGATAGAAAAACTCAAAACACTAATATATATATATACATAAATTTTATTAAAATTGATTACGAAATCGATTTGAATCTGCATACAAAATCGATACAGTCTGGTACAAGAATTTTCTTTACCTGCATGTCATTGCTTGTGAAAAAAAAAAGAGACCAGAAACCGGAAGGGAGAAAAATTAATCAGCATGCTTCAGTCATTCGGACCCATTCGATCTCTATCACGAGAAAATCGCATTAAAGGAAGGAGACATGGGAAAAAGTTCTGCCCGGAAAACAACTCACAGTGTTTAATCTTCTTAGCGTGTTCAGGAAGCATGTTCACATGCTTTTCATCTGAATGCTACAGAAAAGAAGTTTTGGCTTCTCCGTCGGTATTCCGTGCGGTGGAAGGGCCATTTCTTCTCTTAAATATGCTTAGTGGGAGCTCGGGGAATAGTTTAGTCTTTGTGTGTAGATTAACGCATGATTTACTCATGTCGTTCGTGGTCTTTTTATTTTTTGTTAGTCAGGAAAATCTATGATATAGTAACCAAAATTATACTTACTTATACTTTTGTGTACATATTTGGAACAATCATATATGTACACAAAATAATAAATACGTATATTTTGTACAATATCGGTACACATTTTACAGGTATATATTTTGAACAAGATGGGTAGACATTTTACAGGTACATATTTATTACAACGGGTTTGTATTTTATACAAACATATTTTGTACAACGAGAATAGTTATAATGATAATATGTACATATTCATATTTTGTACAACGAGAATAGTTATAATGATAATATGTACATATTCATATTTTGTACATATTGGTATATATGTGAGTACCGTTTTGACCGTTACCGTTTTTAATTTTTAATAAATACATATTAGAGTAAGTAATTATTATATCTCTTTTAATATTGTGATCATTATATTTCTTTCAAAATATTAAGTTATTTACAAAGAAAAAGTTTCACTATTTCTACTGATATCTAATACAGTCAAAACCAAAAAAAAATGACTGCAAGATGATTTTCTAATCATATTCTGATGGAAAAACTCAAATATATATTTATGTAAATATGTATGTATATATTTATATTTTTTTTATCAAAATTGATTACGAAATCGATTTGAATCTGCATACAAAATCGATACAGTCTGGTACACGAATCTTCTTTACCTGCATGTCATTGCTTATGAAAAAAAAAGCCCAGAAACAGGAAGGGAAAGAAATTAATCAGCATGCTTCAGTCAATCGGACCCATTCGATCTCTATCACGAGAAAATCGCATTAAAGGAAGGAGACATGGGAAAAAGTTCTAGCCGGAAAACAACTCGCTGGGTTTAATCTTCTTAGCGTGTTCAGGAAGCATGTTCACGTGCTTTCATCTAAATGCCGCAGAAAAGAAGTTTTGGCTTCTTTGTCGGTATTTCGTGTGGTGGAAAGGCCATTTCTTCCCTTAAATATGTTTAGTGGGAGCTCGGGGAATAGTTTAATATTTGTCTCTAGATTAACGCATGATTTACTTATGTCGTTCGTGCTCTTTTGATTTCGTTAGTCAGAGAAATCAATGATACAGTAACCAAAATTATACTTACTTATACTTTTGCGTGCATATTTGGGAAAACCAAATATGTACTCAAAGAAATAGTAAATATATTTCGTAATATTAAGTAATTAGATTAATTAAAGTAATAAATGTAATTATATTTTGTACAATATAGGTAAACATTTTACAATTACATATTATGTACAACGGGGGTAAGTATATTGAAAATATGTACATATTGGTATATATGTAATATTGATATTTTTACATATTAGTATATATGTAATATTGAGTACCGTTTTTACAGTTTTATACCGTTACCATTTTTAATTTTGAATAAAACTTTAACGGTAAAACGGTACCGTTTAAGTACCGTTTTTGATTTTTAATAAATACATATTAGAGTAAGTAATTATTATATTTCTTTTAATATTGTGATCATTATATTTCTTTTAAAATATTACGTTCTTCGCAAAGGAAATTACATTTTATATAAAAAATCTTTGAATTAAGCTTGGTTCTTAATTTTATTTTATAGTTCGTTTAAATAACAAATCTTAGAATTTAGCTTGGTTCTTAATTTTATTTTATACTTCGTTTAAATAACAATTCTTTGAATTAAGCTTGGTTCTTAATTTTATTTTATACTTCGTTTAAATAACAAATCTTTGAATTAAGCTTGGTTCTTAATTTTATTTTATACTTCGTTTAAATAACAATTCTTTGAATTAAGCTTGGTTCTTAATTTTATTTTATACTTCGTTTAAATAACAAATCTTTGAATTAAGCTTGGTTCTTAATTTTATTTTATACTTTGTTTAAATAACAATTCTTTGAATTAAGCTTGTTTCTTAATTTTATTTTATACTTCGTTTAAATAACAATTCTTTGAATTAAGCTTGGTTCTTAATTTTATTTTATACTTCGTTTAAATAACAATTCTTTGAATTAAGCTTGTTTCTTAATTTTTATTTTATACTTCGTTTAAATAACAATTCTTTGAATTAAGCTTGTTTCTTAATTTTATTTTATACTTCGTTTAAATAACAATTCTTTGAATTAAGCTTGTTTCTTAATTTTATTTTATACTTCGTTTAAATAACAATTCTTTGAATTAAGCTTGGTTCTTAATTTTATTTTATACTTCGTTTAAATAACAATTCTTTGAATTAAGCTTGTTTCTTAATTTTATTTTATACTTCGTTTAAATAACAATTCTTTGAATTAAGCTTGTTTCTTAATTTTTATTTTATACTTCGTTTAAATAACAATTCTTTGAATTAAGCTTGTTTCTTAATTTTATTTTATACTTCGTTTAAATAACAATTCTTTGAATTAAGCTTGTTTCTTAATTTTATTTTATACTTCGTTTAAATAACAATTCTTTGAATTAAGCTTGGTTCTTAATTTTATTTTATACTTCGTTTAAATAACAATTCTTTGAATTAAGCTTGTTTCTTAATTTTATTTTATACTTCGTTTAAATAACAATTCTTTGAATTAAGCTTGTTTCTTAATTTTTTATTTTATACTTCGTTTAAATAACAATTCTTTGAATTAAGCTTGGTTCTTAATTTTATTTTATACTTCGTTTAAATAACAATTCTTTGAATTAAGCTTGTTTCTTAATTTTATTTTATAATTCGTTTAAATAACAATTCTTTGAATTAAACTTTGTTCTTAATTTTATTTTATACTTCGTTTAAATAACAATTCTTTGAATTAAGCTTTGTTCTTAATTTTATTTTATACTTCGTTTAAATAACAAATCTTTGAATTAAGCTTGTTTCTTAATTTTATTTTATAATTCGTTTAAATAACAAATCTTTGAATTAAGCTTGTTTCTTAATTTTATTTTATAATTCGTTTAAATAACAAATCTTTGAATTAAGCTTGTTTCTTAATTTTATTTTATAATTCGTTTAAATAACAAATTTCATTTCTTATATTCAAGAACGTGTACATATTTTAATGAAATCATGTAAATATAATTAAAAAAATTTTTTTTAATAATATTATTATATGATTTGTATATTGTTGAATACTATTGTTTTTGAAATAAAATTTGGAATTTGAATTATTTACATCTCAATGATTTTGTTTCATTATTTCTACTTCATATGTAAGAGTCAAAACAAAAATATGATTGCATGAAGATTTTCTAATCATATTCTGATAGAAAATCTCAAAAGACAAATGCATGTATTTATTTTTTTTATCAAAATTGATTACGAAATCGATTTGAATCTGAATACAAAATTGATACAGTCTGGTACAAGGGTTTTTCTCTACCTGCATGTCATTCCTTATGAAAAAGAAGATCCCAGAAAAGAAAGGGAAAAAATTAATCAGCATGCTTCAGTCAATCGGACCCATTCGATCTCTATCACGAGAAAATGGCATTAAAGGAAGGAGACATGGGAAAAAGTTCTGCCCGGAAAACAACTCACAGTGTTTAATCTTCTTAGCGTGTTCAGGAAGCATGTTCACATGCTTTCATCTGAATGCTACAGAAAAGAAGTTTTGGCTTCTCCGTCGGTATTCCGTGCGGTGGAAGGGCCATTTCTTCGCTTAAATATGCTTAGTGGGAGCTCGGGGAATAGTTTAATCTTTGTCTCTAGAATAACGCATGATTTACTCATGTTGTTCGTGTTCTTTTGATTTTGTTAGTAAAGGGAATTTATGATATAGTAACCGAAATTATACTTACTTATTCTTTTGGGTACATATTTATAACAACCAAATATGCACACAAATGAATAATTAAGTATATTTCGTACAATACGGGTATACATTTTACAGGTACACATAATTTTATGACGTGTGTAAGTATATTGGTAATATGTACATGTTGACATTTTGTACATATTGGTATTTTGTGCATATTGAAGTATATATGTACATATTAGTATGCATTTACTATAATAATATCATATAATAAGTAAATAAATAAAAATAAAAATAAATAGTATATAATAAGTAAAACATATTAATAAGCTGTTCTAATATGTAGATATTTGTACATATTGGTATATGTGTACATATTAGTAAGCTGTTCTAATATGTAGATATTTGTACATATTGGTACATATGTAAATAATAGTAAGCTGTTCTAATATGTAGATTTTTGTACATATTGGTATATATGTAAATATTAGTCAGCTTTTCTAATATGTAGATATTTGTATATATTGGTACATATGTAAATATTAGTAAGCTGCTCTAATATGT